ACACACACACACACACACACGAAACCAGGAGTCAACCACTTCTCACCACCTCCACTGCTGCCATCTTCATGTCGCCACTGAGACTCCTGATTGGTCACCCCACTTCTATCCCTACCCTTTTAAAAGTCTCTCCTCCGCGCAGCAATGGGAGGGATCATTTTACAACTCAAGCCACATCATGTCACTCCAGCCACAAGTCCTGCACTTCACTCAAAGTAAAAGATAAAATCCTTACAGTAGCATTCCTATACTGTCATTTCCTCCATCTTCCCCTTCCTCCCACCACTCTTTTACTTGCTCTGCTCTAGCCACCCTGGGTTTCCTGACACTCCCTGAATGAGCGAGGCATATTTCTGTCTTTTAAAGGACTTTATCCTAGCTGTCTCTCTGACAACAAGTCCTTTCGACCATATATTCACCTGCCTAAATCCCTCATCTCCTGCAAGTATTGGCACAAACAAACTTGACCACTCTATTTAAAATTACAGCTCTCCAACCTACCCCATCCCACCCCTGGTACTCCCATCTCTCCTACCCTGTGTTCTTTTTCTTCCTTCCAAAGCTCTCAACACTTCCAGTACGCTATACAATTCACTTACTGACTACAATGTAAACTCCATGAGAAGAGGGATCTTTGTTATGTTAACTGATACATCTCAAGGCTCTGGTATGTAATTGGAGCTCAAATGCATATTGAATGAATCAATCAATTTATCAGATAAGCAAAGATTTATAAGCCTGATAACACCCAGTAGTTGTACACAGATGGTGAAAAAAATGAACTAACGTCTTCTAGAGGGTAATTTGTCAACGTACATTTAAGTATTTTTATTATAGAAATATTTATCAAGCTTCTATAATGTTCAGCCTTTTCATTAAGTGATTCCACTTCTAAGTACATAGCCTTAAAGACTCCGCGATGAACGCAGGTTTAATCTATAAGATGAGATTTCGTGAAGCCATTACAAATTGTACACACATCTATGTTTACTATAGTAAATGATTCACTATAGTAGCACATTTAAACAAAATCCAGGGTGTCAGTGTGTTTTTTTTTTAACTTTTTCTTAACGTTTATTTATTTTTGAGAGAGAGGGAGAGAAAGAGAGCGCACATGCACACATGAGTGGGGAATGGGCAGAGAGAGTGAGCGATACAGAATACAAAGCAGGCTCCAGGCTCTGAGCTTTCAGCACAGAGCTGGAAGCAGAGCTTGAACTCGTGAGCCATGAGATCACGACCTGAGCCAAAGTCACATGCTTAACGCTTAACCGACTGAGCCATCCAGGTACCTCAGGGTGTGAATGTTTTAAACCAAGCCTTCTTAACCAGAGCATTAAATACAATTCCTCCTCAAAGTACAGCAAGTAATACCTACCTCAGCAAGACTTATCAATAGAGCACATATATTCAGTACCCTTAATCAGTTGTACAATTTAAAACCCAAAGAGAACAATGGCCAATCTGTATTTATTACCAGCTATTATTAAACTTTTCAGAAAATTGTTAGCTTGTTAAAAGGTGATCCCACCATTCACTCACATTACATCCAGCACTGAATCATTCCGAATGACCTTATGGGAGACATCAGCTAGCAGAAAAAGACCTCCATCTGTTCTTCGGATACTAGCTGCATAGCCCGGCCAGATCTGCAACCTGAAGAGACAGGTGAGTTTTATCTCAGGGTTCTAAAAGGGCCACAGATACTTCCCTGCCCCATTTGAAACAAGTGAGTAAATACCACCCGCCTCCCTAATAACAATGGAAAAAGCACCACAAATCAAATTAAATCAACATCATTGTGAACTTACTAAAAAAACTAAATTGTGGAATAGATTTAACTGATAAATTGTATTCACAATCATAAAATACTGTTGAGATTTCTGTACTAAATATGGTAATCACAATGAAAAATTTCTTTCCAGAACATTCAAAAGTAAGGAAGAGAAAAACACCACTGACCTGTGCTGCTGTAGAACCATAGCACTTGTAGGGTCATAAAAGTTTCTCCCTACAAGCTTCATATCTAGAAGTTTCATTACCCTGAAATAAAGAGCAAAAATGGGTCTTCTAGAGAAGAATGAAAAAAAATTAAGCTCTATTACTCTTATATTTTCCTTTTAAAGCCTGAAATGCCAAAAATGTTGGTGTCCTTTGCACAATATAGCTTTTATGCTGAGAACACCCTTGCCAAACGAAAAAGAAAAATTATCAAAGCATTTACCCTGGAGTACATACAACTGACAACAGCTTGTCTTAGTTACTAGGTAACCAAAAACTGAGTTGATTTCCCAAGTTCCATTTACATTATTTTTCACAATTAACTAAAAAGAACGCAAGAGAGTCCATTTCTGTTTGTAAAGATCACTCTGGCATAGGAAGTTATGTTTGTCCTGGTAGTTCAGCTTATTAGTTAGAAATCAGGTTCTGTGTTTCATTTAAAAAGAGGTGGTGCAGGAATAAGTTTTATGAAAATTTGGATCTTATAAAAAGTTAAAAACATATGAACTGTCTGTATCCAAAAATTCAAGGGACCTAGAAAAAATTCTTCCAGCAAAAATTTTTGTGCACTACCACTTTGAATAGCCCCGTCAGTAACACCATTAAATTACGCAATATAAACATCTACTTTTAAAGTTCCTGAATGATTCCAAGGAACCCATCCTGCTACTGACCTTCATTATACCCAAATCTGGCTAATCACGTGACATAATTTTTTAATAAGTTAGCCTCAATACCATCCATTTATTTATTAAATGTTTCCAAACTCATCTCTATAGGAACTGTGGTATATAATACCATCCAAGCTTCTTGAAGAGCACTGTTACAAACACAAGACTGTGATTAAAGAAAATAAGCTGTTTTCTCACCGACGGAAAACAACATTGTAGAAGGGAATGCACAAGTCAGAACAGGGCTCCAGGATCTTTGTCAATTGAATCTTAATGCTGATCTCTGCATCATCAGTTTTCCTTTGACTTTTTAACTCAAGGACCTAACAAATAAATATATGCAAGTAAAAAAAAAAAAAGACAAAACTACCAAGCCCTAATCTCATCAAATGTGTTCTAGAAAACACTAAAATATCTTAACTATATTTTCCACTTTCCCCTCACCTTGCTGTCCACACTGAACAAAATCATAGCAAGACAACAAGGATTTAAGAAAGGATTTGGTAAGAGAAATGTAATGGAGAACTGACTAGCAATAGATCCCTTTCCATCTGAAATCTTAAACCATTTCCTATCACTGAGTTCACAGGCTTCAAACCACTCCTCTTATTTAAGAAGGGACTTCTTGGAGAACTCAGATGAAAAAGTGGCTTAGTTTGACATTTCGTTGTTATGGAGAAGTCTGTCTTCCCTCTAAGAATAGGAAAGAACAACTCAAACGTCAGGATGTCTATGACTTCCTACCACTCAAAACACCAGAACTCTCTTAGGTTTCATTCCAAAATACATTTCCTATTTGGTCTCACTTGTTTCTGAAGTTTAACAGGCAGATAGAGAATGGATCCATCAAAAGCAGTAACGTTGCCGGTGACAGCTTGATGGTCCTTCAGCATGCCAAACCTCATGCTTTTGCACTCCACATTGGGGCTAGAAAACAAAAAGGATTTTACTTCAATTTGCTCAAATGGCAACCTTTACTAAATAGGTTTGTTAAGAACCAGTCAGTTGTAACTACTGCTCCATCTAGTGGTCGTATGAAAAATTCAAATACAGTTTACCTGACTACAAAAGGAACTTCAACCCAAGAATACCTGCCCACAGAAAAAAAACCCACTACCCAAAGACAACTGCCTTAGCATGTCAGCATATGTTCTTCCAGATTTTAGAAAAGACAGACAGAAAACTTTTTCATTAAAGGACCTGATAGCAAATATTTTAGGTTTTACAGGCCACATGGTCTCTGGTATAGCTACTCAACTTGACCAACACGTACCTAAACACCACAAATGGTATGTACACCAATGAGCCTGGTTATGTTCCAGTAAAACTTTATTATAAAATAGATGGTGGGCCAGATTTGCCCTGCAGGCCAGTCATAGTTTGCCAATCCCTGCTCTAGAACCTGCAGAGATACACACTTTAAAAAGAACTTTTTAGGGGTGCCTGGGTGGCGCAGTCGGTTAAGCGTCCGACTTCAGCCAGGTCACGATCTCGCGGTCCGGGAGTTCGAGCCCCGCGTCGGGCTCTGGGCTGATGGCTCGGAGCCTGGAGCCTGTTTCTGATTCTGTGTCTCCCTCTCTCTCTGCCCCTCCCCCGTTCATGCTCTGTCTCTCTCTGTCCCAAAAATAAATAAACGTTGAAAAAATAAATAAATAAAAATAAAAAGAACTTTTTAAAAACATGATTTTATGGGGTGCCTGGGTGGCTCAGTCAGTTGAGCATGTAACTCATGATTTCCACTCAGGTCATGAACCTGGGGTCATGGGATCCAGCCCCAAGTCTGGTTCCGCACTGAGCGTGAAACCTGCCTGGGATTCTCTCTCTCTTTCTGCCCCTCTCCCCCACTTGCACTCCAAAATTAACAAAAATAAATAATAAATAAATTTTACTTTTTTCACTTGTGGCAATTTCTACACTTTATTGATTCATTGTCACAAATCTTACAGCTTTGAAAAGCTCCAGTAGCTACTTTGGTACAATGACTGTCCCATTTCATCTCAGTAACACACCATCTCTTATCTAACTGCAAAATTTAAACAAATCTAAGGCTTAAAAGGGTGAAGTATGTTCAAGTACATGATGAAAGATTCAAAAATTGGGGGCTCCTGGGTGGCTCAGTCAGTTAAACGTCCAACTTCGGCTCAGGTCATGATCTCACAGTTCGTGAGTTCAAGACCTACACTGGGCTCTGTGCTGACAGCTCGGTGCCTGGAGCCTGCTTCAGATTCTGTGTCTCCCTCCCTCTCTGCCCTTCTGCTGCTTGTGCTCTTTCTCTGTCTCTCAAAAAGAAATAAATGTTAAGGGGCGCCTGGGTGGCTCAGTAGGTTGAGCGACCGACTTCGGCTCAGGTCATGATCTCACAGATCATGAGTTCGAGCCGTGCATCGGGCTCTGTGCTGTGCTGACAGCTCGGAGCCTGGAGCCTGCTTCGGATTCTGTGTCTCCCTCTCTCTCTGCCCCTAACCCACTCGTATTCTGTCTGTCTCTCTCAAAAAGAAAATAAACATTAAGAAAAAATGTCAAGAAAAAAAAAAAAAGTTAAAACAAATTTTTTAAATAAAAATGTCAAGTGGTAATCGAACATAGCTGTCCCCAAAACTAAACACGCACATGCTAACATCACATTTCAAAAAGCTTCTCTAAAAAAAATTCATATACATGAAAGGCACTATGTCCTGAACACAACACTTAAAATTGTCTTTCTGGACTCCCTTCACATAATACAAGGAAGCCACAGGATGACCACTCCACTAGAATACATCTTCTGAGTATCCTCTTCATGGCCTGGCATCCTCTTCATATTGCAGCTTCAAAGGTCCAGATCTACAATCTTAAAATTTATAAAATCCATGTCTTTTTCACTGTCAGTCAATGCAGAGACCTGTGAGGACTCATACTCCTTTCTGCATCATGAACATTTGTCAATCCATTTCCACAGAAAGGGTTCTTTCCTCTTGTTAATGCTCATTCCTTTCCCTTACATTCCAGAGCAGGGACATTCCCACTACCCTCCCTTCTCAGGGGTTCAATTTTACCCTCTTTTTTTAGTTCCTTCTCTTCATCTGTAACGTGCTCAGCTTTAAAGCAATCATCCTGGTACTCTCTTTAATTATCATTCCATTTCTCATTCCTCTTACATACTTTTTAAATAAATGGCCAATTTAGTGGCTGTTTCTCATGGCCTATGCTCTCCTTGGTTTTTTTTTTTTTTTTTAAGTTTTATTTAGTTTGTTTAGAGAGAGAAAGAGAACAAGTTGGGGAAGGGCAGAGAGAGAAGGACAGAAGATTTGAAGCAGGCTCTGTGCTAAAAGCAAAGAGCCCGACTGGGGGCTTGAACTCACAAACTGTGAGATCATGACCTGAGCTGAAGTCGGATGCTTAACCAACTGAGCCACCCAGGTGCCCCTCCTTGGTTCTTTTAGTCTAGTTTTTTCTCCATAACTCTAACAAAGCTACTAGGAAATCAACAAGGGTGCTCTTGAAAGTAAATTCAGTTAACTTTTTTTACTGTGGCCAAAGTCAACCACCTCCTTCTCATTCAAAGGAGCCCTTCCTTGGGGCGCCTGGGTGGCTCAGTCAGTTAAGCGGCCGACTTCAGCTCGGGTCATGATCTCGAGGTCCGTGAGTTTGAGCCCCGCGTCAGGCTCTGTGCTGATAGCTCACAGACTGGAGCCTGCTTCGGATTCTGTGTCTCCCTCTCTCTGACCCTCCCCCATTCATGCTCTGTCTCTCTCTGTCTCAAAAATAAATAAACGTTAAAAAAAAAAAATTTCAAAGGAGCCCTTCCTTTGGTCTTTATAATCTATCTTCAGGGTATTTCCTCCTAACTGTTCCTTTCTTCTCTCTTACACTCTATGTATTCCTCTTGTACCAATTAGCAGCTGTGCTTCAAAAATTCAGTCTTCCATTTTCCTATTTTCTCCCCAAAGATACTCCAAAACACTCATTTTCACAATTCCAGCAATAACCTCCAGCTAATAAGTTTCCTGAGATTTTAAAAGAGAACACAAACTAAAATGAATTCTTAATTTTTAAGAATGAGAAACCGTGAAGTTACTGACATAATATTAAAGTTATTCTCTCTGATTTTCTCACTCTTAGATTTTTTTAAATGTCTATTCATTTTTGAGAGAGTGTAAGTGGGGGAGGGGCAGAGAGAAAGGGGACAGAGGATCTGAAGCGGGCTCTGCGCTGACAGCAGCAAGCCCCATATGGGACTTAAACCCACGAACAGTGAGATTATAACCTGAGCCAAAGTCGGACACTCAAGTGACTGAGCCACCCAGGCACCCCTCACTCTCAGATTTTGTCGTAGACTTGTCACTGGAGAGCCATCATGGTAGGAGCTTTATTGCAAGGAGGATCTGCGTTTTGTGAGATGTGGGTCTCACGCCACTGGGGGAGAGGGGTCTCTCCTTAAGACAAGGAATACAAAATAATAGATACAAAATAAGTTAAAAGATTATGGAAGGGGTCTATGCAAGTAAAAGGCCCTGCACTTAAGCTTCATTAACTTCACAGAAAATCCACCTTACAGGCGCATAAAATGGTAAAACAAAAATAATAAAATCTAAAATGGTAACATAGCTAAATATAAATAACGTTAACCTTAAATTTAATGCAAAGACCAGAGTTTGTGCATTATTGTAGGCAGAAGTTCATTATGAAACACACAGAAAAATATTCAGTTTTTCCAGGAAAACTATTTCATTAATGCTAAGAAGTGAATACAGAGAAAAAAGCTGTGAATACCTGAAAGTCACATGATATTGATAGACTGCTTCATTATGACACTGTATTTTGATAAGATTCAATCCCAAAGATTGAGGTGTACCTTTTGATCCTTGCTTCACAAAAAGCTCTCTGAAAAATAAACAAAAGCATGCATATATACCCAAAACAAAAGTGCAAGCCCATACCACAAGAAAATAAATAAAAAGAAATAAAAAAACATTGAGGGAAATAATATTTTACACTTAGCTTACACAAGACACACAAAAGCAAGCTTTGAAGGCTAGAAGCTAAATTCTTACCAATCTCTAATTAGAGAGGCAAGTTCACCTTCTTTGCTCCAGTAATATAAATGGAATAATCTAGGCCAGATAACTAAAAACACAAAAATTAGTTCCACTAAGATAAACTGCTGCAATATCTTTCCTAGATGACTTCCTTATCTTCAATGTGACAAAGAACTGCTGTGCCTGAATTGAGAAGAGAATGAAAAATCACTTGAATCACTCTCTGGTATATGCTATCTATACCATCAACCCATTTTACTTCATCAGGAATTGTCCCACCTCTTGTCATTCCCCCCACTGGCAAAAAAAAAACCAAGAAACACAACAAACAACCCTCCAGTAGCTACCACCCACTAAGGAGCTTAGATACAACAGAAAACAGTGTTTACAATATTATGAGAAGGCCTCTCCCCACACCAATGCCAAGCAGAGAAGGCAGTGCTCCAGACTTACTTTCCCTTGTGTTCTACAGTCCCAAGTAGAGGGTGATCCAGAGAGTGTGGTGAGGATGGGGGCAGAGGTGGTGGTGATGACAGCTGGGCAGGATCCCGAGAAGTCAAGCTGAGAGTAGCAGGAGCCTTGTATACTCCTCTGCCTATACCACCAGCTGCTCTTCCCAAAGGGAATAAAGACATATCCGAATTCCCTCTTCCAAGCATTCTGAAACATTGAAAAGAGAACAAATCAGGATTTTCTTGACCGTCTACAACCCATCTAAATGATTCCTCCAAGTCTACATTCTTTTCCTGGAGGAGTCAGCAACAGGGACCCAACCTTGGGATTCTCTCCAGATCCAATACACCTACATGACTCATTTCACTAATTTCTATTAATACTGACTCTCAGGGCCAACTTTCATGGCAGAACTGAGGTAGAAGTTAGAATCAGCCAGGTTAAAGAACCACACAATCAGGTTAACTTAACAGAGCAAATGGAGTTGTAAACTGCTCAGTGGAGAACTACTTTTTACCCTTTTCTAATGACTGATTACATCAGTGGCTCCTAATTATTCTTGCAAAATATCCATTCTTTAATATAAAACCATGCATTGTTTATAAGATAATACAACCCTTTTCAGAGTTTCTCTCTGGATTTACAGAGCTATTTCATCTGAATTTGACACTTACCTGAGAAGGCAACTTTACCTACCTATTCCAACCAACACAGGCCTCTGCCATCTTGTTATCCCCAGCTGCCAGCACTGAAGGATCCGGAAAAGTGGGATGGGGTTCTTCTTTGTCCTTGCGTACCATACTGGTAGACAAGCCTCGACCTAAAATGCCTCTACCTGAATGGAAGGGCCAAAACCCAACTGTAACTGTGAGCTGAAGATGTTTTAAAGTACAGTTATTTTCCTGAAGATAAACTGTACGAATTTAAGAACAAAGCAACCATACATACATACCAGCACATTTTTTTTCAAATTAGTTTTTCACATACCTAATGGAGGCATTTCCCGTTTCAGAGGGGTCCGAGACACTGTTTTAAGGCCCAGTCCTCGGAACATGGAGACCAAATCCACACATTCCTATGAAAAAGAGTAGAGTTATTCTAAGATATATTTCAAAAGTTATTCTAAGATGCAGAATGTATTTCATTTCTAAAATGAAGTAACAGTGTTATTTCAATGACTGGAAGTGATGCACATTCTGTAATGCACATAGTGAAGTGTTTAAGAAGATGTAATAAAAATCATCTTTGAATTCTATACATGTTACAACCATAAAGGAAAAAATGCTTTATAAAAAAATTATAGGTATATTTAATAAACCCTTTAAAAAAGAAAACATTTATTTATTTATTTTGCAGGAGAGTGAACACGCATGGCGGGGGGAGGGGAGGGATGGGAGTGGGAGAGAGAAGCCCAAGCAGACTCCATGCTCAGTATGGAGGCCAATTCAGGGCTTGATCCAATGACTTTGAGATCATGACTTGAGCCAAAATCAAGAATCAGATGCTTAAGGGACTGAGCCACCCAGGCATCCCAATAAACACTTTTAATAAACACTTATAACTACATGTGACTATATATGACATTTATAACTATGTCATATTAGACTGTCAAGCATATATACAGCTATAGCCCATGATTTGATGTATAGAGTAACAGAGTGCAATTCTTCTAGTTTATTTCCTATATACCCAAGGTAAGAGAAAACACATATACTAGTTAATATATTTTCAGAAAAACTGGATCATTTAAAAGTATCTGAAGTTTGTGGGGTTTTTTTAACAACCTCTAACAAAACTTGCTGTTTTCTTGCGGCAGTTTTGAAAGTTGACTGCTGTTATACCTGTTAGAGCTGCCACTTATAGACTCAAGCAAGTCATCTGAGTAAAAACACAACATAACCTCATCAATTTTTCTTCCTACAGAATATTACATTTGACACTGTCAACTCTTAAAATTGTCATAACTGTTTATCAGCTTCTTCCTATATGTGCTAACTCCTTATTCTTTGAGATTTTTAAATTACAAATACCACTCTTAAAATTACTATATAATTAAGAAATTAAGAATGCATATACATGCAAGAGTACACACATTAAAAGCAATGGCTGAAGATCTTTTTATTTAAGATTTGGGCAAAGAGCCTTCTGGAAAAACTTTCTTAACAATTATTACCTCAGAAGCAGGACTGTCTGCTAATATCACAGAGCCCAACCCAGCATGAAAATCTAAACACTTAGAAAAGAACAACAAGCTATTATCTTTAAACTTGTCATTTGTGTATATGCATTTATATGTATAGATGCTAGGGAACTAAAGCATTTACCCAACTCTATTTAGCATTCTTTATGAGGCACTTTTTCTAAACTCTTGCAACTTTAGGATTTGAAACAGATGCCCGGCATGCAATTACTTGTTAAAGAAAAACCAACCCAACCCAACCAACCAACCAAAAAACCCCAACCATTTTTTTTTCATACAGGGCTTCAGTTTTCTAAGCACTTTGAAATCTCTTATTTCCTCTGATGATAAGCTGTATGCTGCTACATCTGCATCCAGACATGGTCTTACCCTTTGTGCTGGCCCACTCCGTGGGCTTGGTTCCCCTGGCTTCCCAAATACATGGCCTCTGCCTGTAGATCCTGCCCTGCCCAGCGCTGAGTCCAAAGGTTTAGGAGCTTGTGGCCAAGAGCCAGGCATCCGTACACACTGAGATGGGTTCACAGAAGAGCCCCTGAAGGGTGGTTGGACAGGATCCATTCAACGGCTGCAGAGGACACTGGTGTCGATCCTATTCTGATAAATTACCTGCCAACATTTCATTTTATAAAGATTAAAGATTCCCAATTGTTTTCCTTCTCCTTCAAGACAGATTCACAAAGCATTAAAAACATAGTTGGGTTTTTTTGTTTTAGAGAGAGAGCACATGCACACAAAAGCCAGGGGTGGGGGAGGAAAGAGGGAGAATTTTAAGCAGGCTCCACGCTCAGTGAGGAGCCCAATGCAGCTCAATCCCTCAATGCTGGGATCATGACCAGAGCTGAAATCAAGAGTCAAACTCTCAACTGATGGAGCCACCCAGATGCCCCAGAAATATAGTTTCTTTAGGTCAGACCAGTAATACAACCAGCCTCCTTCCTGTATCATGTTCACTTCAAAAGCTCTATTTATGGGGCGCCTGGGTGGCGCAGTCGGTTAAGCGTCCGACTTCAGCCAGGTCACGATCTCGTGGTCCGGGAGTTCGAGCCCCGCGTCAGGCTCTGGGCTGATGGCTCAGAGCCTGGAGCCTGTTTCCGATTCTGTGTCTCCCTCTCTCTCTGCCCCTCCCCCGTTCATGCTCTGTCTCTCTCTGTCCCAAAAATAAATAAATGTTGAAAAAAAAAAATTAAAAAAAAAAAAAAATTAAAAAAAAAAAAAGCTCTATTTAGCCCAGAATATTTTGAATATTCTCCATCAGCAAGCCCTTAAAAGCCAAGCTCTCCTCAAAGGTACTTGTATTTTCTACCCAAACAGCCTCTCAGAGAACCCAGTCCTGCGCGTTAACTACCTATTGCACAAGGAAGCACTTTTTATGTATGGACAGGATTTTGGTTTATGAACAAATTCACAGTTAACATAATCATACCACAAAATTATTCTGTCAGTAAATAGTTATGGGTTTTGCTTTGTTTGGGGCCTCTCTTTTCTCTACTAGACTCGTAATTTTTTTCCCAGTCTACTTTCACATAAACTATTCCATCTCCCCCTTGATCTCCATAGTTGCTTCTCTGAATCTTTATCCAATTCTTCTCTATAAAACTCTTCTTTCAAACTCTACCAGAACTGAAGTCTCTAGGATGCAGACTCTTCTGCTTTGAGCTTGCAATACCTGTTGAGTCTCACGGGTGACATTTAACACTCTTTTCTCACCCAGGTAACCAGGGATAAGACTCTTCCTGGCTCCTCAAATCTCAGGACCATCAAGCCTCTTCAAAATCACTTTATAATCTATAGAAGTCAGGACTCCTTCTTTAAAGAGCTTCCTTCATTGCCCTGACCCACCCCTGATCCCTTAACTGACAAGGAAACCTCTTAACTTTTGCAAACTTGCCTTAAGTATTAGCTACAAAAAATCAGGCCATCCACATACAGAAAAGACTGACAGAATTCCTAAGTCAATACTACAGATGGTTACAGTTCAGGATCTGGGAAAAAACAAACAAACAAAAACCACAAAACAAAAAAAACAAACTTTTGATTTTTAACTAAACTATAAATGTAAAACTAAAATGGCAGGATATGCCTCCCTTCCTTAAAGGCTACAATAGTACTCCCCTTTAATTGTTTAAACTCCTTTTCAGTTGCCCTGGCCTCCTTTCTCACATCTTCCCAACAGCACCCAAAGAATCAGTTGTCTAACCAGCACACACTGAGAGGCGCTATAATACCTACCAATTACAGGATTTCTGGAATCCTCCTCTTTCTCAGCCCTTCCCTCATCTCCATCATCACTTCTAGGGATTCAGGCTCCTCCTACAGTATGCCCTCCCTTAGTATGGACTTTTCTCCTTTGATTAGTGAGCAGAGAGCCGGTTGGTTAGAAGGCGCGATAGGGACGGGCCCCAGGTCAGGCCTACCTTCCCGAACTCTCCAGGTGGGAGCTCTGGGCTGGGGAACTATGACTTGGGGCCTAACCAGAAGGGAGGCCTGTGAAGGCGAACCCTACTCTCCCACCCCAGAACAAAGTCCTATTCCCAAAACCAATAGCTCTGTCGGGGTTCCCACTCCCCGTTTCCGTCTAAGTAACTTTCACGCTCTCCTCTGGCCACAAGCTTCCCACCTTTTCCAGTCCTGCGTTCCTCCCACACACCCAGCCTCAAATAACGACTTCCCGCCCCCGCCCTGGCCCCGGCCCAGGCCCCGGCCCAGGCCCAGGCCCCGGCCCCACCGGGGACCCACAGCCCCTCCCGACTGGGGTTGGTGGGTGGAGGGCGGAGAGTCCGCAGTGGGCCGAAAGGAACCCTCCCCGCCCCCACTCGCCACCTGGAGCTTGAGCGAAAGCCCACCTGGCCTGCCTCGGGAGCAGCTGCGCCTCCCTGGCCTTCCAAACCTGCGTCCCGTCCACTCACCAATCTCCAGCCGTCGCCCCGCTCTGCTGGCCTTCAGGAGAACCCGGTGCTCAACGCCCCCGACACGCCAAAAGGCCCACATGCTCCAGACCAATTTCTGGTCTTCTCGCGAGGCCTCAAGGGCTGAACCCATTGGCTAAACGACGTGCCACTCACATGATGCAGCCATCTCATTGGCTCGTCTCAGAAAAGAACCTCTCCCTTTCTAGCAGCTTCGTTCTACAGAAGGTTCATCCCCAAAGAAGTGCTAGAAATGGGGGTCCGGAAGTTAGGGGTAAACCTAATTAAGTGTGTTTTTTCTAAGCTCTAGACTCCGTTCTGTGGGCAACTCCCGTTAAAAAAATTTGTCCATAATGTAAGTGACTTGCCCCATCCTTCTCAGTTAGAGGATATAGGAATATAGGTGGTGAATAAAGGGTAAACTTGAGTTTACATTCCAACTCAAGGTCACCTGATTACGTGATCTCTGTGCCTCGCTTTCTTTATATATGATAGGAATAAAAACATCCATTCACAGGGTTGTATGGAAATACATCATTAATGGGATGATGTATATAAATGACTTACTTACCACAAGATTGCCTGCAATAAATGTTGCTTACTATTATTATTTATGGATGTTTGAATCTGTTAGCCAAGAAAAGCTTTCTCCAAAGTATATAAAAGTATTGGTGGTTAATTTTGCAATTACAGAATATTTTCACCCAAAAAAATAAAGATTTCTCCCCCACTCCAAATATTTTGGCAAATAACTACACCCTTACCTAAACCCAGCTTTTCCAAGGTGGATGGGTTTAAGCTTCAAGAAACCTTGGCTGATGCTGCTGAGACATGCAAATACTCTGCATGAAATAGCACTAGAGAAGGCTTTTCCAAACCTCAGATATTTCATACCTTGTTTTAATCCACACATTCAAGGAATCTCCTCTTTTTCTCAAATCAGAATAGAGTTTGAAAATTATTGGAGCAGGAGGATTTACAAAGCAGGGATCTATCTGCAAGATACCCCTTTACTGTTTGTAGATATTATTTGTTTAACGTTGTAACGTTGTAAGTTCTACCCTACTACCTTCCTGCCTTGCAATGTTAAAATGTTATGTTCTAATAACATATATAGTAGGCAGAATTTTGTTGCCCATACAAATATTTAGTAGCAAGTGCACTCAAAAACAGTAATAAAAACTGTTTTGTAACCTTGGTAAAGTCCCAACTACCTGTCCTTCTGGGTACTTTCATCAAACTTCGCATGGAAGATTTATTCCATACCCAGGAAACAATATTTTAGGGGCAGGATTCAGCAGATCTTCACAACAACAATTCTCAGGTAATGTTCTGAAGCTGTCAGTTTGGGAACATAAACCAAGAGCACCATTACTAAGGGTAATGGTAATATATCAAAGGGCATATTTAGGGTTCCTTGTCATGCAAGAGTAGGTGGCCTCTGTACAGTGTTTCTAGCCAATCCATACATTATGAATACTACTTATTTCACCAAAGAAAAATCTATATAGTCTCAGTGTTGAGTGGACATAAAGATGGTTGAAGCTCTCTAAAGGGTGGACATCTGCTTAGAATCTTTCAAAAGCTAATCAACCTTTCCTGGAGTTTATACTCCCCATCAGGGTACTTCACTTGTTAATTAACCATACGTAGGATATCAATTAAAAATAGCACGCACACATCATACTGTCTTAAGTATTTAAAATTAAATTATCAACGATATTTTCATAAAACCAAATTCATCTACTTAGCCCTGCCAGGCTCTAAAGCTCAGGATGAAGATGACCCTATAACTACCTGCAATCTGATTTTCCCAGGCAATCATGACTTCAAATACTCTGGCCTTTTGTCCTCATAACTACTTCCATTCTGACCACATTTCCAGAGTATTTTTGTTCAGAAAATATAGTCACCACAGCCACAGCATTGTCAAGGGCAGAAAATTACATTGCCTGTTGGGCCTAGAAACTACAGGGAGGATTTACTTGGAAGTAGACCTATGTCTGTAGTACCTCTGGGTTTCAGGTATAAGTAAATACAGATCCTCCCAGGAGAAATATAGCTTCAACCTGGCCTCAAATGTTCCATTAAAAAGTGTCATTAAATATGAACTCACAAGAAAAATAGATACATACAAAACACATTTAGGGTCAATAAATGAGTGAACAGTTCTTTTGTTATTTGCAATTTAAATCTAAAACACACTGGGGCGCCTGGGTGGCTCAGTCGGTTGAGCGTCCGACTTCGGCTCAGGTCATGATCTCACGGTCCGTGAGTTCAAGCCCCGCGTCGGGCTCTGTGCTGACCGCTCAGAGCCTGGAGCCTGTTTCAGATTCTGTGTCTCCCTCTCTCTCTGACCCTCCCCTGTTCATGCTCTGTCTCTCTCTGTCTCAAAAATGAATAAAAACGTTAAAAAAAAAATTAAAAAAAAAATAAATAAATAAAAAAAATAAATCTAAACACATATAAACACACACACACACACACACACACACACACACACACGGCTCAATAAGAAGACAAAACAATCCAATAAAAAAGCAGGGGACAAGTGATTTCAACTGATCTTTCACCAAAGATGATATACAAATGGCTAGTAAGCACATGCAAAATATGCTCAATGTCATTAGTCACTAGGGAACTGCAAACTAA